TTTTTTTTTTTGCAGATAGAAGGACTTGCTCAGTTGCACTTAGCTGGTAATAATTTAAAAGACTTTACATTTGATGATAACTGTCTGTTGTCGTTACGTATGTTGGATTTATCAAACAACAAAATTGCCTCACCTTCTGTACGTATTTTGACCGGTATACCGAGTCTACAGGCTTTGGATATTTCCGGAAATCCGTTACATTGTGACTGTGAAATTGCAACATTTATTGCCAAAATGGTTCCACAAAGAGCACTAAATCAGGTTTGCTAAAAAATTTTATTATTTTTCTTTTATTAACAATAATTTAAACATCAAAAGAGAGTGAAATAAAGTGATATTGTCGAAAAAAAAAAAAAAAGAGTTGTAAAAAACTGTTCAAAATTTTTACTCATATAATCTATTTTGTAGCAGCTTTCTTTTTTAATTTTTGCTGTTTTTAATATGTATAATCAAATTATTTTTTGGAAATTTTTTCTGACTATTTCTTACTGTTATTTTTGTTGCTAAAACTGCTACAATAAAAAAAACCGTTACTGCGAAAACAGTTTGTGCTTAAGAAGTGATTGAATTTTTCAATAGTTGAGTTGCAAAGTATTAAAATTGCTGTTAATTAAAACAGATTTGAAATTAGTCAAACTTTTTCTTTGCTTTTTCTAATTTACTCAGTTGATTTTTATTGTCGTTACTAAATTTTCTGGATTTTTTTCTTTTTTTGCAGGCAATAGTAAAGTCTTAATTTGTTTCTAAAATGCAGTTCAGTTAGTAAACAAAGAAGAAGAAGAAGAAGAAGAAAAAAAAAAGGGTATCAAATAATCACTCAGCAAACTGCCTTTCTTTAGTTTACTTTATTTTACTTTTTTTTTTTTTACTTTTTGCAGGGTCGAACAATATGCGTATCGCCGGCATCGTTGAAGGGTACAGATGTGTTTGATGTAACCGTATTTCCGTGTACAAAAACAATAACTTCAACACATCGTAAATTTGCACTATCTTTTCTGGTTGCTGCACTGTTGCTGCTAATTTTTGCTGCACTGAAACATTATCGGGATCGATTACGAGAAATCAGATTCCCATTAGTAGCCGGTTACAGTAAATTGGGTAATAACGA